TCATGTCTTCTCCAGAATGCCGTCTTGAGAGATGAGGATAACATATGTTGTTGAAAATCCATTTGTTTTGCTTGCCGGTGCAACACTCAGTCTGTCGAGCGCACCACTGCCCCACTCCGGGTTCAGCACCTTTTGACGAAGTTGTCGAACCTCCAGTTCCTCTAGCGGCCAGAAAAGGGTCAGACCACCCATCAGACCATATATAGTATATGCAGTATATATATATATACATGTATATATATATATATATGTGGTACATACAGTACATATAGTAAGTATATATATATATATATGTGGCATATACAGTATATACAGTATATATAGTATATACAGTATATATAGTGTATATAGTCAGCATCAGCACACCATCTGTAGAGCCAGGTCCGAGCTGCCCACAGAGCCGTGCATCTCAGAGAGCTCGCAGTTGCAGTGTTTTTTTGTCGTCGGTGCCTTGCTACCTCAAGGACAATAGGTAGGTAGGTAGGTAGGTAGGTAGGTAGGTAGGTAGGTAGGACAAGGCCCTGCAAAACGATAGGGTCCAACCGGATAAGACACGATCGACAAGTAGTTTTGTAGGCTGCTCATGGAGAAGGTTCTACGTACGTGACCAACCTTTAGATTGTGTAGCAGTGTAGCGCAACTTGACCCTAGTCCAATAATGTCGGTATGGACTCCTCCCCATGGAAACCTGAATGCGCCTTGGCGTGCAGAATCAATAGATCATGGATGTGCCACGGATTTGCTCTCAAGTGGTTTCATATGCTCAAGTCTTGGATCCTGAGGCAAATGGCACAGTTGGACACCAAACTCCTTGTATGCCACCAGTTGGGCTGGCAGCTCATGGATGCTGTTCAGCGTGCCCAAGAGCTTGGCAACAAGCAGATGGATGGCATCGGACGAGTGGCGGCTGTGCGTGGGTGGAACAAGTTGTTCCGCGCATGCATACGTCATGTGAGGTTGCTGCTTGCTGCTCTGAAAAGAATGGGGTGTTGCCGGTCTTGTGTTGCACCGCACTTTATGCAGGGACAGGCAGGCCCGTCTGGTCGCTGGTCTGAGTCAGTCCGACAGTGCGAGTTTGAGCCCAAGCTTCTGCCTGTGCCCCCGTCACCGCCGCTTCAGCTGGATCATTTCATTCCCCGGGACGGGACTGTGGCCGACAAAGATTCCGGCCATGGGCCATGAGGCCGCAGCCACGGATGTTTGCAAGAAGCTCAAGACCTTCTAGACTCTAGACTGCCCCACACAGTAAACCCCAAGCCCGCTTGGAGAAGTTTGGGAAGTCAAGAACACCGAGCCCTAAGCCTAAACCCTTTGAGGAGAAAACCCGGAGAAAACCCCTTGAGGAAGGTGAGGCTTTCAGGGTTTAGGTTGATCTCGGGATCTGGGGAAACAGGACGGAGGTGACGCTGCATGTGCAGTCAGGCCTTGACAGATCCGAAGGTTTGGGCTCTTGACGCGAGGGCGCGGTTTGTTTCGGAAGTTCTATGACAAAGTGCGGATGATGGTTTGCAGTGCGACCCAAAGTTGCAACCCTTTTGTGAGACGACACCGCTGTAACCTCTCGCCCAACCTCTCAAGCTTCCATCTTTGATCTACTGCAATAGCCCTGTGCTTCGAAGGCGTCCACTCACACAGTATAGACGGCTCGTGGCTCCCTCTGCTTCTGGGCGGGCAGGGGGGGGGCTGAAGTGGGCAGTATCTGGTTTTCGCACAAAACACAAGGGGTGCAGCGTACAAAAACAGAGCCTGAGAGATACCGTTTTGCTCTTCGCACGGGTGCCCCGTAGCTACCGAGATGCTTTGCGATACTCGCCTACAAAAGTCCAAAGAGCTTTGCTACCCCCCCTCTATTGCATGTGTAGCATACGAACCCCGTCGTTTCGCAGCCTATCGTGCCATAGTTGGATATGCGAACTGTGGATCAGGGTTCAGCGTGGGGACATCATTGCTGCTGTTTGACGGAGTTTCTGATGGGTATGGGCCAGACTGCCATGATCACACCGCGATTCTCTTTGGGCTGGGTTGCCTCTGTCGTGGCCTAGTGTCAGTGTACCCGTGCGAGGGCATATCTCTTGATTCTTAATGAGCCTTGCCCTATGCATGAGGCTTTCGGGTGTCACAGGCCTGCCTTCATCTACTACATTCTACCGTTGAAGAGTAATTAGCATGTCTTGTGTCCATGAAGAAGCTTTCAGTCCCCAAGCACCTACTAGGTCCGAGGTATGAGAAAAATGCCAGCAGATCTCGTGACATCTTAAATGCAGTGATGTGGGTGTGGAGAATGTCGCACCTGGCATTTCGGCTCCCGTTGTGGCACTGTGGCAGTAAGCCCATCCCCTGCACCACCAAAGCCAGGAGACCACCCGAAAGCTCACGAACAGTCAAAACAGTAGGGCCAGGTCATGAAGGCCCAAGACAATGCAGACCTTGGCTGAATATGCCTGGGAAGCAACCTAAACCTGATTTCCTGAACTCTTTTACCTATAAACCGCCTGCCCTAATGCCAGAAAGTCGACAAGCCCTCCTCAATCCTGTAACCCATGGCCCCTCCTCGTCGCTGCGGAAGCACGCCATGTTCCTGGATGGCGTGACAGACCGAGGCACCAAGGGTTTTCTTGTCAATCCTGCCGGGTCTCTGCGAGTTGCTGGAGCTCCGGGGGGTTTGTGTGTCTCTCAGGACCAGGGGCTTCTCTTCAACACCGGCATGAGGTGCGCATGCAGGTTTTGAAGCAGGCCCGAACCAAAGGCACCCAGCCCTCGGTCAGCAATCTTAGCACTGGCCGTGGTTGCGTGGAGGTGGTGGCAAGTTCTCGAGTGAAGATTGTTGTCGGATGGCCGTGCCAACAAAGCAGCGCTTCTCGTCAAATCTGATGATGGCCCTGCCGCCGCTGCCACCGCGACTGCTGCTGCTGCTGCTGCTTGTCGCTACTGGTTGCGATAATGACGGTGATAGCAACGGACACCCACTGTAGCGCTGCTGATGAGGTTGATGATGCTGATTCATACTGCTGATGTTGGTTCGTGCTTCACGTTGCCGGCATCATCTTCCAGCCTACCTGCAGGAGCTATGAATGCTTCTCGGGCTTGAGGCATCATGCCGGCAGAGCAGGCCGCCGAAGGCAAGCAGGGCTGATCTCTCAACCCTTACAGGTCTCAGTCGCGTCCCCGAACCCATTTGCCGTGACACGAAACTGACAGAGAGAGAAGATACTCGTACCTCGGCGTGCCTATGGGTGCCCTGACATGACAGCCTGTGGGGTGGAAGCATTGGCAGCTCACAAACCCTGAAGCCCACACGACATTCCAGCAACCTTCTCGCATCTCAAGCACCTGAGGGGGGGTTGGCCTCAATTTCACGTGTGCTCGTCACTCTTTGTGGGAATGCTTGGAGGTTCAGTGTGCCTAGCTTGGGGCCGAGGCAGCTCACCAACCCAGACCCCAAGAAGGAAGCAAGTGGCGTTTTGAACTGCCACGCATGTGACACGACAGGTGGCTGATATTCGGGCACGACTTGAGTTCTGTACATTCAGCTTGCAGGGTTTCAGCTGATGCTGCGTGCGCTGCGAGCCCCAAAACCCAACTCCCAAACTTCCTTCTCTTGCGAAGTGAGTTGAAGGCATGCCCAGCGGGGCAAATCAGGGGTTCTTTGCTTCCAAGCGGCCCTGAACCTTCAGTGCTTAAAGCAGGTGACGAGGAAAAGGAGAAAGCTGCCGAACGAGGCTGTTTCTATCAAGCTCGGGGAGTAGGCTTAAATGGGGCTTGAGTGTAAGGTACGGTTCCTGGGACATGGGTCGTGGCGGGGTCAGACGAGGGAAACACTCTCGGAGTCACAGGTTTGGTGTTGAAAATTGATGGTTCTGTGCTCTGATGGGAAGCATTCTAAGACAGTCTTGGCCGGACGCAATGCGTTTCACGTGAAGTCCAAGCGTCAACAGGCTGCAGTAGAGGCGGGAAGACAGCGACACACCGATGCTTGTCTGTCGTTTGTGCATAGCGGTAGCTGATGCCAGCGAGATATTTAAAGGCCTTGAAGCTAATGATACAGTCCAAAGATCGTGCTGTAGGCGGCTGGGCCGGTAGGTCTGATGCCGCACATTTGCCGCAGATGCCACATGTAAAAAATGTCGCCCCAATCGTTGCAGTCGTTAAGGCCACTCAGACCTTCGAAATCCTACACCCGAAGGGCGATAAATGTCCACCAGCTTTCTGCAGGCGCTGTGCGCGGCCGGCATTCGACAGAAGCCATGCCGCAAGACAGTCGATGTTGAGACGTGTTCTGCTGTGCAGGTCTTAGTGAGCGTGGAATTTGGTGCGCATTGCAGACTGAGGGTATGGATTGTTCAGCTTGGCGAACGCTTTTGTGAAGGTTGTGTGTGTGTGTGTGTGTATGCAGGGAAGGGGAGTCTAGCGGGCATGGAGGCTTTGGTGCCTGTTTCGGACTATAGTTTCGAAGGTCTTGGGCGGCTTTCAGCTTTCCGTCCTAAACCCTAGACCCTAAACCAGTGAACAGGAGGGTAAACCAGTGAACAACGGTTGAGGAGTTCGAGCCCTGCAGGCTGAAAGATTTCGGGAGTTGGGGGACCAGGGATTTCGACTTAGGGGGGTTTTGGCAAGATAGATAAGGACTGAAAGGCTTCCTGGCTAAAGGGTGTCAACTGTCCTTGGGTTTTGGCGGAGAGCAGTCAACTATCACAAGGGTGTGAATCATTCGAAGTGTTATCCCCTTCGAAGTTCTAGCTCTCACCCCATAAATAACAAAATATCTTCGCAAACCCAATTCTGCTTCTAGTTGTTGAGGCTCCTATGGTACAGGCAGAGGGCAGGCTGTCCGCCGGAGAACGAAGACGGTCAAAACTCTCAGGATGTTTTTCGCAGCGTTTTGAGGCAATCGTGTAGCCAATAGACAGGAGCTTTAGAGGCTTAACTGTCTTGCGACTCACTGTAAGGGATTGGGAACCGCACATGCTTGTCCCATGTCTCCGAGTCGAAGGCCCTGTTGGATGCCTGTTTTTGTCCGTTCAGTCTCCGAGGAATGGCTCCACACAGGTGCGCGGTTGTGTGGCGATAAGTTGGAATTTAGTTTAGTGCGGTTGTGTGCGGATAGGTTGAATTTAGTTTAGGGTTCGAGAGCCGGAATTTCAGGCAGTGTGGCTGGGTCCCGGAATCGATGATGTTGAGGGTCCAGGGTTTTAAACTAAGGTGAGGTTGTGCAGTTTTGAACTTCGATGCGTCCAGTGTACATGACATCTTGACCGAGAATTGGAGGGTGATCGCCTCTCTGATGGAGCCCTCGTCCTCTTTTCCAGGAACCTGCTTTGAAGACTTGGTGGCTTAGGCCCCGGAACCCTAAACCCTCTTCAACACGGAACTGAATCCTAAACCCTTGGCCCAGAAACCCCAAACCGAACTCACATTGAGAAGACTTTCGCTAGTACCCGTGCCAGCTTGTACAAGCTTGCGTGTCGAATCGCCAGGCGACTTGGTGCTTCTGAAAGTCTACTTGCGGGACAGCGAGGGATACGTCGAGGCGGCTACGAACACACAGGCGCGATGCATGATGTCTCGGGCTGAGTGAGAAACGTAGCCTGTGGAGTTCGGGCTTCGGGCTTAAGGTTTGTATGATACAGGTTCACCAGACCGCGACTTGAGCCCGGAATTCTTTACACAAGGGTCTTTTTGGCCTTGCGGTGAACGAAACCCGAGACGCTAAACCGATGACGAGTGTGAGCGCCGAAACCGATGACAGACCGAGTTTTTTCATTCGTCCGACCTCCGTCTTCAACTTCGCGTCGTGAGCGCAAAAGAACCCTAAACAACTCCTAAACCCTAGACTCTAGACTTACGGGGAAAGATGAGGCAGTGAAGATCTCGAACATGACTATGTAGGCAGGTCAGGTTTTGAAGATCCCACATCTGACGTTTCGCCTGAGTAGCTGCAGAGCAGCGCTTGCCGAGTCTGCTGCATTAACTGCTAGATTTGCGAGTCTGCCCTTTGCTCTCTGGGGTCATGTCTTGTCAGCGAGCTTTCGGTAGTTTCATGGATGTCTGCAGTGCTGTCGAGGTCCTGATGCAGACTTTACCTGCTCGCGCCCCACCTCCAGAATCCCGGGCGAGTGAACCGTAAGTACCATGAGCTCCCATGGCACAAGAGGGGCCTTTGTGCACCTACAGCCTCAGAGTGGGGGCTAACTCTAACCTAAAACTCCCACTAGTCACGAGTGCTTGGGTTAGAGTCCTGCATCGCTTCAGGACACGGGTCGCTGAGCTGCAGTGGGCGGTAATTTTCCGGGCAATGATTTACCGGTTTAGGGTTTTTTACAGTCCGCCATGCGCCACCCGCACGATGTGTAAGAAATCAAAAACATTCAGCGTTGCGCGTCGGCGCAGTCAGCAAGTTCAGGGTTTACGGTCCAGGGTTTAGGGTTTAGGGCGATAGTTCCGGGCGAGGGAAGCCTGCTGCAAAACAGGATCGTGCCGCTAACGCCCCCTCTTGTTCTGACACTCCAGCTTCGCTCATGACACAGTACTGTGCACCTAGTACATCCGAAACACCACGTCCTTTCAGACTATAAGTTCTACATTCTATATTGTATATCAGGTTGCATAAACAGAACCTACAAAGAAGTAGTTGAGCTTTCGAAGAAGCACGGCTCCAGACCCCGGCGCTGCACCAAACGTTCCCAGCTTTGGGGGAGCAAAGGTGGCGGGCGGTATTAGCGGGTGCTTGATGTGTCGCTCTTTTGGTTTCTGTTTCCAGAAGATCACATTGGATTCCAACTGCGGCGTGTCGGCTTGTGAATAAGGAATATATATATATATACACATACATACAGAGTTATACACACACACGCACACTTGCACACACACACATATACATACGTACATACATACGTACATACATACCTACATACATACCTACATACCTACCTACATACATACATACATACATACATACATACATACATATATATATATATATATATATATATATTACGGCTACGAATCGTGTAATTAGGCCCTATGGCCCTCAACTCAGTGAGAACTGGGGCCCTGAGCTGCGCCTCAATGAGGCTACATCCGCGGCTCGGGCATGCACGCGACGCTGGAGGCAGGACGAGATTGCCACGCTGAAGGCTTAGATTCGGGAGTTTTGGGTCGGAGTTCGGCCCTAGCTTCGGCTGAGCTTTCAGCCTTCAGTCCGATCTGTTGGTTCATGGGGGATGTTAAATCCCTTAATTTCCCCGAAGCTCCCACCAGCCTGAGCAGGTCGAGGGCGTGGACGACTTCCACACCGGAACTGTAGACGTGCGCGACTTTATTTTCGTGGTCGTGGAACAGCTGAGCAGCTTGGCACTTGGTGGGGGTTTAGGGTTTAAGATCAGGATTTAGGGTTTGATACCCCCAAAGCTTTTCAGGGTTTTGGCTTCCGTCCATACTTCCATGGCGCATGACAGGCTACAACGCCCAAAAGGACCTGCTGAAAAAGAAGAAACAGCACCTTGGCTGCATTGGCACGTGCGGTTCAGGGCCAGGAAGGATCAGTCGATGGGATCATGCAGACACAGTGATTGGCTTGAGCTGGTGGGCTTGCTGCCCTCACTGCAGATGCAGTTTTCGGATGCAGGTGCTCCCAAAGTTCTGCAGTCTACCTGCCTGCCTGCCTGTTGTATGCATGCATGTTTAGACCTAGACAGAGACACAACAGTACATAGGCAAGCTCAGACAAGTTCAGAGTCACTTCTTTGTGGATAGAGCAGTCAGGCTGCATAAAGCCGAAACCCTCAGCCCTCTAGTATATGAGTTTTAGATTTTGGTCGACTTTTGCGAAGAACCAGCAGTCAGGCTGTACCAGGAGGGCCTGGACCCCTCCAGTGCGTGCCGGAGCCTCACAGGGACCAGAGCATTTCATGGGCGCATGCCGTCTTTAGGGTTCGTAGAAGCCAAGGAGTAAGGAAACGCAATTCTCAGGACTCGTGGTCTTAAATAATCTTGGTGAGCGCGGTCTTGAACTTGTATGGTGTCGTCGAGTTACTTGAGCATATTCGATTCACAGACGGCCTTTGAAAGAATTGGTTAGTTTTGCTTTTCGGAGGCGATTAGATTGTAGGGCCTGTGCTCGATTTTTGGGCATCGGATGCCTGCACATGCTGATTGCACTTGGTTAATTCGGTTTTGCGCAGCATCACTCGCACGGCGAGCAAAGAAACATGCCCTCGAGATGTCATACTCCACGCTTCAAGATCGATCCCGGGCCCCAGCCCAAATCCACAGCCGTAGGCTGTGATGCTTCAGGCCACCACAGGCCAACCCAGATAGTCCCAGAACTGCGAACAGACTCCGGTTGCCCCCTGGGCCTGTCGATCCGGGCCCTGCAGTCTACGCACTGCAGCTGCGCAGCCTCGAAGAGCGCGCCAAGATGGAGGCCGTGGACGGGGATGCCTCCAAGGGCTCACAGCTTGGTCCTCGGGGCGGGGTGGTTTCTTGGCGTTTCCGTCCCTTCACCCTATCGCAGCCAGCTTCGGACTTTCAGGAATGGATCCACTTGCTAACACAGGCCTGAATCACCCATCCCACCCAGCCCCTCGTGAGTTATCCACACAGGTTCTTTGCTGCGATTGCCGTGAGCCCCGAACTGGTCCGCAAAATGTGGCAGTCTCATGCGCAGAGCGTGAACTCCCCAAATTGGGCGTAGATACTGCAGACAGGCCCCTCCTGCGCCCGAGGTTTTGAACGCCTGAAAACCACAAACCGGCGATGCTTTTCAATCCGAGAAAGCATTTCCTCTTCCTTTGCAGAAGGTAGGTTTCGCCGGCGCCGCCTCAGACTTCCCCCAGACATCCCCAGAGCCAGGCGGAGCAGAACCTCAACAAGCAGCATTCCAAGCCCAGGCCGTTCAGAACCCGGGGAGCTTCGGGCTAGGGCAAATTTCCAGGAGTAGAAATACTGGGAATGGTCGTAGTCGCAGTCGTCGTCGTCGTCATCGTCGTGCAGTCGTAGTCATAGTCGTCGTCGCAGTTGTAGTCGTAGCCGCAGCCGGAGTCATCGAGCTGTAGTTGCAGTCGTAGACGCAACACAGTCGTACATTGTACCTCGCACGTCGTAGGTTGTACATCGTTCGTCTTTGCCGTTGGCTTAGTTGTAACAGGAGTCGTGGTCGAAGTCGTAATGTTAGTCCTAGATGTAGTCGTGCTCGTAGTGGCAGTCGTCGTCGTCTCCGTCGTCGTAGCAGAGGCATCAGTAGCAGCAGTAGCCGACTCCCCAGCTGAACAGGATCAGCGCCTGGGTTCAAAAGTAGTAAGCATGAGGTAGTAATAAGTCGCCGTCGAGGCAGGGGTAGCAGGAGGATGAGCAGTGGGAATAGGAGTCGGAGTTGTAGGTAAAGCAGCGCCACGAGCAGCAGCAGTAGCTGTAGTGGCAGCCGTTTACGACTCAAAAACACTAAGGCAGCTGGTGGAAATAAGGTCAACATCTACATAAACCCAGCAGACTACCCTATAGAACGGAACGTGTGCAGCGTTTGGCGGCTGATGAACCCCTTACACAGAGGAGCCGGCTCTGAGGCTCAAAATAGCCCACAAGCCTTAAGCAATATTTTCTAAGCCCAAAACTTCTAGCCTTAGGGTTAACCAGAGGAGCTGTCCCTATCGGGAAGTTCGTACTCGTGACGGGAAGCCTGCGTTCTGGATTTCGAGGATTTCGATCGTTTTGCACGCAATCGAAAAACTTTTCTGTTCGACACAAAGCCAAACCCTGCAAAATAGGAGGTTATGACCGTTTACGTTTACTTGCACTTAGGGTATACATAAGTTGTAATCCTTCGAATGGTAGGTAACCGAAGCATATCGAACCCTCTCGAAAATCCTCTCTCAGCTAAACAAGCAAGTAAGCAAGTAAGTAAATAACGTACAGAAAGTAGCACGCAACCTGAGTAAAGTAGGTAAAAGTAAGTGAAAGTAAAGCAACCAAGTAGCGTAAGCATGTAAGGACGAGTGTGTGATTACGCAAGTAAGTAAGTAGGTAGGTAGGTAGGTAGGTAGGTAAGTAGCAAAGGACGCTCGGAAGGAAGCAAGCAAGTAAACGTGCGACTGAGCAAGCAAGCAAGCAAGCCAGTATCATCCAGTCAGTAAACAAGCAAGCACGCAAATAAGCAGAGAAGTAAGTAGATCAAGCAGTCAGTCGATAAGTTCTGCACGTGTTGCCTTTTCGCCAGCCGCCCTTGCTGCTGTTGTCAATCTCAATATTCGTGGTATTGCCCGAACCACCTACCTACTCTCCTGCGTCAGGACTGAGTTATGTACTGCAATAGCTACAGCAATAGCTGTTCGTAAATATTGGAAGTCGGAAACGGGAAATGCTAAAGCGAGTTGGTGTAGGTCTTTGTGTGTGTCCGAGAACATGTAGGTGTTGGTGCTGACCTGGGTCTTGTGTCGCTGTCTGTCGAGTCCGCTCGCGAAGAGAAGCCTTTAATCTGAGGCCTCGAGCAAGACCCGAAGCCAGCTCCGAGAGAGACGGCCTCCTGCAGAGGCCGATCTACTACGGCGAGCCGCTGCAGCTTCAGCACCTCAGGCGACGTGCTTTCGTAGCTCAGAGTTTGGGATTCAGGTCCTAGTTGAATCAGCTGCTTGAGGAAGAAAGCCATACCGTAAAACCACAGATATACAAACTCTGCAGGCCCTTGACACCGCCTGAACAACACGTGCCCCTACTGGACCGTACTAGGATGCATAGGGTCCAACAGAGGTTTGGAGGAGGGCGTTTTGCATTTGCGAATGGGAGTGTCCTTAAAGCTCGTGAGGCGACCCTGGTGGCTGACATGCTCCACCTAATCCTAACCCAAACAGGACAGGCCGCTTCGTTCGCGTCCGCGCCAAGGCCCAGCCGGCCGTGACAAGAAAACTGGCTCTGCGTCGTATTTAAAGTTCCTGGTTTCATGAGTCATGAGTCTTCTGCAGCAGTTTCGGGTTTCAACGAGTTTGGATATGGGATCAAGAGTTGCGTGATAGGTAATTCCGTGCGCACGGGTCCTGACTGCAAGTCGCCCGAGAGACTCAACCACCTCTACCGATCCGCACCGAAGAAACAAACACGAGATCGGCAGCAAAAAGCCACTATGGATTCTGCACTGTAGGGCTACCTGTTCATGCGAACCTTAGTTCTACAAGAACGGACGAATCGGGTTCAGGATTCCAGTTCCTATGTTTTCACAACTTTTTGAGCTGGACATCCAAGTGTTAGAAGTCAAAATGGAAGTGTAAAGATGCAGAACCCGTCGACACTCCCGAGCCCTAACACTCTTGACTGCAGCCACTTGTAGCGAAAGTTTCCCCCCCTAGCAAACGACCTCGCGCAACCAATCGGCCAGAAAAGCTCCTTGCTTGCTGTGGGGTTGCAAGAGCCTCGGTTTCCGAGAACACCAGCATTTATGCCCTTTAAAGAGAGGCGTCGGCACCCCTCCAGCCTGCGGCACGCATGGTGGAGCTGCAGGATGCTGCCTTCTATTGTTTTGTATTATAATCACTTCCCCCCTTTATTAAACACCCCTAGTAAGAAAAACACATAAGGGCGAATCCTCCCGAAATCATCTCTGCCCTCTTAGACCTATTCTGAATTAGGGGGTAGGGTTTCGAGGCTCCAAAGACCCTTAGATCACAATAAGAGCAAAAACAAGAGCTGGAGTTAGAGCAAGAGCAGGAGCAAGAGCAAAGCAAGAGCGGGAGCGTCAGAAAGAGCAGCAGCAAGAGCAAAGCAAAAGCAAGAGCGGGAGTAAGAGCAAGAGCAGGAGCAAAAGCGGGAGCAACAGCAAAAACAGCAGGAGCAGGAGCAAAAGCCAGCGCGGGAGCAAGAGCCAGAGCAGGAGCAAGAGCGCGACCCCTCCACAGTGGCAGTAGAGGTAAACTACCCCCTAGTAAGAAAAATGCTTTCCGAGTTTTTATTGGGGGGGCCGTTTAACATTAGGGGGAAGGGATTAGGTGTATTTACAGCCCTATATGCTTAATTGCACACACATGCGCACGCATACACACGCACACATGTAACTAATACACGCATGCAGACATAATTACAGTATTACATGCGTACATACCTACCAATGCACGTGCACATACATAAATACAAACATACAGACATACAATGTACCCGCCTGCCTACCTACCTGCCTGCCTGCCTACCTACCTACCTACCTACCTACCTACCTACCTACCTACCTATCTACCAACTATTTATCTGCTGATCGACCTGACCTAATGTGGCCTCACCTGACCTCACCTAGCCTAGACGTAGACGGACCCTGCCTCGCCGTTGCTGTTGCCTTTACCTCACTTTAACTACCTGTGCATACATGCAAGCACATGCCGACATACATACCTATACGGCTTCATGCAGAAATACATAGCTATAACGTGCATACATACCTACATGCATGCATGCATCAATACATACATTCATGCTTACATAACATGCATGCATGCTTACATACCTGTACACACATATCAAGGCACATACGCACACAGACACATCCCACGCACACACACACACACCTGTATGTATATATATATATATATGTATATATATATACACATACACATACATATACAAATATATAGATAAATAAATAAATATAAATATATATATATATATATATATATGTGCTCGCCCCCCATGATCTACCGATGATATTGATATTGATATATATATATATCACAGACATAAAAACACACATTTAATACACACTATATATATATATATATGATGTATGTTTATACATACAACCATACACCTACATGCTTACATACGTATCCATGTCTGGGCTTATGCAGATAGACAGATCAGATAGATAGACAGACAGAGACAGACAGGCAGGCGGCAGGCGGCAGGCAGGCAGACAGACATACAGAGAGACAGACATGTCAGCCATGCTTCAGGGTCTGGAGAGGTGGGCAGGTACCCCATTGGGCCTGTTCACCGGCTTTTTCTCCCTGCTGAATCATGTTCGTTCAGTCGCCTTGCTGCGGGGTGGTGTTGGGAGGTAAGCCCGAGCTCCGAAGCCCAAACGCCAAACCCCAGATCCTGTCAGGCCGGGACAGAACCCTCAAGCGCGCTCGAAAGCCCAACAAATCCTTCATCGCCGGTTGGCTGCTTATGTAGAGCGCAGTGACAGCATGCAGGGTGCGAGCCGTGGGATTGATTGAAGATGGTTGAGACTGATAATGATAATGGTTGAAAGCGACGCATCAGCACATTTGGATAGCTTGACGGAGCACATGGCCAGGATTAAAGCGGCACCAACTCTTCCTTGCTTGATTCAGGTATAATAACAAGTTGCAGGGATGCTGGGTTGAAGTCTTGAGGGTTCAGCTTAAAATTTGCGGTTCAGAATCTAGAAAGTCGATAACTGGGCCGTGGCCTTGGAACGCCATGGGAAAGAGGCGGGCAGCTGACGATGGCGGAGGCAGACACTTGCGATCCAAGCTTTCTGGTACTTGCAGCATGCGCAACTCATTTTGTGGCAATAGAAACCGGTGGTCGGGGTGGGACATGGCAAATTCGGAACTTTTGCTTTCC